GAGCTGCATGGGCTCATAATTCTGACTGGACAGCAGGGGCGGATCCATGGGGTGACCTGGGCCACAATCCCAAATCAGCTGTTTTGGACTGTTTTGCAGCTTTGTTTGGATTTCAGTGTTGCACATGGAAGTGTCATTGAATTTAAAAAAAAGTAAATACAAGTATTTGAATTTGTGCTCAACGTGATTAAAAAATTAAATCGAATGACAGCACTAGTTCAAGTTTAGTTTTTATCCTCATCCTGCAATGTCACTATTGCACATGTCCACGTTGCATTTTCGATGCTGACACAATAACTCATGCAGCCCAGGAAGCAGTCGCCCTGAGAGGCCTTAAATGCTTCTTCATGACAGTTTTCAGGTGAGAGAGTTTGAAATGTTCATCTTAGAAATCATTCTGAGTGAGTGGATGGCTCACCGTGATTTCAGGGAATGTGTTCTTTATGAGGTTGAACATTTTTCTGTGAGACTGCAGGTCTCCCAAAGTCAGAGGCTCGCTGGCTCCCTCCCTCGTCTCGCCCTTCGACTTCTCGTTCAGGTTGTTTTCCTCACGCACAGTCTTCACCTAGGCAGAAAAAACACATTCACATCCTTCAGTTGAGTTTATCCTGAAGCTCAACCACCACACAAGAAGGACACATAAATATACACTTTGGATTTCTGTACAAACATTACTCAAAAAAATAACTTCATCTAAGGGAAAGGGTTGAAGGGAGTGCTGCACTGGGTGAAATAAATACAGAAGAATCAGGTGATCTTTAAGGACAGGGGAGAGAGGTCACATGACTTATAAATAAACAACTGTCCTGATTACAAACAAAGTTCATTGTGTAGAAATGTCAATCCAAACTGAAAGTCTGAGGCACTCTGATGAAGTATCTCAAACAGATCAAGTTGTGTCATCATGATGAAGACTCAGTTGAGTCGAAGCACGTCGACACATTTCTGTTTCTACAACGATTATCTCCAGGATAAAAATCTATGTACAAGTCTTTAAGGTCAACATGTTTTGTGATTTCATTTTATGAAAATATACATCTTACAACACCCTCCTTCAGCCTGGTGATTTTAAAAAGGTCATCACTGTCAGGTTCTCTAATACCTCTAATTTATAAACCACCATCAAACAAGACAAACACACTGAGGCATTAGGAGCTTTATAAACGGAACTACTAATGAAGCCTTGTTAATATTTGTTTAATGAGCTGTGTGTTTTACCTCTTTACCGCCTAATACTGCAGCCTCCACACAGACAGCCAGCAGGTCCCTCAGGTCCACGGTCCTCTTCTGTCTGTAGGGACAAACGCAAAACAAACATCAAGATTCAAGTATTTGCCACGAGCTCATACAGAAGGGAGGTGAAGTGTAACTGTTTGACAAAGCTATACCATAAAAACACTCAAAGATTACTCTGAGATACATTTATACTGTAATATGTAGAAACATAAAGATTCATTTTAGGAACATATATAAATGTGCAACGGTGTAGAAAAGACAGAAAAGATATTCAAAGTGTCAAGATGAATCATGAGTTTGCATCAAAACTGAATGTTTAAAGCTTTTTTTCTTCCTTCACATCAGTTCTGATGAAAGTGGAAAAGCTCAACAGCTCGGGGTTGATGAGATCTTGATGACAGCCCCGAGGATTTATTGAATGAGACTGATGTGAATCAAAATACAATCATGAGACACCCAAAGATTCCCAGCCCTAGTACACACTAACTAAGTCTGCAAGTCATACATGACACTGTTTATAACAAAGGTTGTTCATCCTGTGCTGGATTGATCATTTCAAAAAATATTTGTTAAACATTTGGTAAAAGGTAGATGGACTTTGAATGGCTTTTACACCGCAGGTCACACCTACACATTCACACACTGATGGTAGAGGCTGCTGAGTAAAGAGTCCATCAGTATTAACTCATCCATTCATACATACATTTAAGAGTTTAGTCACCACCAGTTATGGACTTGTGTTAAACATAGAAACAGGTAAGATACAGTTTCAGTTCAATGGTAGATTATATAATAATATAAGTTAATTAGAGAGGGTCTGACCTGACGAGGAAAGAGGAGTCTGCTCTGAAAGCAGCCAGGCGGCTGGAGATGACTCCTGAGTACAGGTGGTAGATGACACCGACTCCCAGCAGGCAGAACACCGCCACACCGAGCGGAGACAGCCGGATGCCCATCGGAGCCATTACTGTCTACGTTTTAGAGGAGTATCAGGAAAAAACACGGCAATGCGAGAGCAACAAAAAGGTGCACGCAAGAAAAACTAAAGAGATAAGATACCGTTCTATGTTGAAGCTAATGTTATATTAGTGGTGGAGTCGTTTAGCATCCTGCGAGAAAACCATGGAAACACAGCGACTTACAGGCTGTTTCTAAAGACATGTCGGAGGCTCTGGTCCTTGTTGTCGCTGTTAACTCGTTGAAAAAAGCAAAGTGTTCACTACTGTCGAGGGCAAAACGGAACAATCACATCTCTGTTCAGTCATTTTTCCTTTCTAACGCGATACGTACACAGCAGAGGTCACAGGCTGGCACACTTCTCTTCCGGGTTAACACTGCCTACGTCATGCTTTTTGATTGGTTGGTTTTGTGTTCCTTCATTTTCATATCCGGAAAAAAAATACAAATCTTTTTACAAATCTAATCCATTAAATTAGTATAAACATATTTTATACATAGGACTCAAATGCAATTATAAATGACCCAAAGGAGCCTGTAAAGACAAATCCCCACTTATGATGAAATGATTTCAAAATAATGTAGCTCTTCTTAGAGATGGTCCAGCCTTTTTGTGCAGTCTGTGGAAATTCTTTGTACTTAAACTTTATACAACAATTACTCATGAATACAATCACACTTTAATTAAGGATCTCTTTCATTGTATTCTAGGGAGCACCTGAAGCAGGGGTGCATCCAGACTTTTTGGACTGTAGTGGGCACTTGTTTATGCAGGGGTGGCCTGAAGTATGATGAGTGCACAAACACACACACCAGTGTTAATCCTGTCAACTAAATAAATGACGAAAATATTCGTTGACCAAGGTCTTTCTAAATTAGTCAACTATGACAATGACGAGACGAAACTCCGCTATTTGACGATTTGATAAATAATATTACTTCATCGTCTAATTGACGAAAATGTGACGAAACAAAAACTACATTACAAGTGAGGATTATCACGTACCCCCCTCAGCTGTTCTAAAATCATTGTAAACCATAGCAGACTTCATCAAAGGTGTGTGTGTGTTGTGAGTGCAACAATGTGCAGCCTGGAGCCTCTCGCCTGCAGGTCCATGAAGCCCCCTGGAGCTTTCATGCATTCATGTGGTGTCGGAAACATTGGGAAAAAGAGTTTCCGAGTTGTAAAGTGCACATGAACACCTGCTCAAGTCGGACCAACAACTCAGAAACTCAGAAAAGAATTAAGTACCCGACTTGATGCCAGAATCGTCATCAAATGGGGGGCAAAATATTTTTTGTTAATGTTAACATAGCCTACTTTCTATTAATTCATGTATTGCACATTAACTTTTGTATCAAATATAACTTTTAACAGTTACATTTCACAGCTCTTTGTAGCATCAAACCTTATTTGTGCTGTTGTTACAACATTCCGACTGTCCGAACTTAAATCATATGAACACACTGAAGTCGGAAGAACGACTTCCCAACTCGGAAACATGGACCATCCGAGCAGCACCTGAATGCAGCATAAGTGAGCTTCTGCTAATCAAAATAAAAGCTTGAGTCTGATTTTGTTGACGAACATATCTTCTATTTTCTTCAACTAAAATGATGTGTAATTTTAGTCAGTGAATAATTGACTAAATTAAATCAATAACAAATGACTAATATCTGACTAAATATAAAGGACATTTTCATCAGGAGACTATGACTAAATTAGAAAATGGTGTGAAGATTAACACTGCAACACACACAAATAAATATAAATTATTTACCCTTTCTAACCTCACCAATCATATCAACTTTTCTAACATGAGATAATGGAGAATAAATTTGCTTAATTTATTAATGACGAAAAGAGAAGATTCATGTTTAAAGTCACAATTTAAAGTACTTATAAAAGTGCGTGCAAACTCTTGCACTGTCTAACTTGCAATGTTTTGGTCCCATCACTTTGCCAGTTTGTACATCACAATTAAGACAGTGATGAGTACTGTCCTATGAACTTGTCTTATTAAGTAGATGTGCAAAGATTTATTTACAATCTAAAATAAAAGACCCAATATTTGGTTTTAACATGAGTCCCTCCTCTGACAGGGCAAATAGCCAATCACATTTTAGGATTTTTAGGGTGGCCAATCATTATATTTATTTGTCAGCATTCTGTATACACATGGCTAAAATAATGGTGCATTCATGTGGTGTCAGACACGTCGGAAAAACAAGTTTCCGAGTTGTAAAATGCCTGCTCAAGTTGGAACAACAAACAAAGTTGGAAACTTGGAAAAGAATTAGGTGCCCGACTTGCTGACTTTAAGTCAGAATCGTCATCACATGGGGGGCAAAATATGTTTTGTTAATGTTAACATACTTTTTCATTTATAATATAACATTTATCAGTTTCATTCCACAGATCTTCTTCGTAGCATTAACGCTGTTGGAGAGTTTTTACAACATTCTGACTTTCTGAACTGAAATCACTTGAATACACTGAAGTTAGAAGAACGACATCGCAGCTTGGAAACTTCAGACCACCTGAGCAGCACATAAATGCAGCAGAACAGTAGAGGTAAGTTCATCCATCGATCCATTATCTATACCACTTGTTCTGTTGGGGGTTGTAGGCGGGCTGTCATTGGGTGCGAGGCATTGTAGACGCTGAAGGGTGCCCACTTCCCCTTCAGAAATCAAGTGTTTACCCAGAACAAAAATACTTGAATATGCAGAACAATACTGCTTCTAATGGCTGTATTTATGAAAGAGCTCCCTGAAGATAAGCTTTGTACAATAAGTGACAGGTCTGAAGTGATTCTCCTGAATTTTATTCTGATCAAGAATACACAGACTGGAACAAAGTTTGTAAGACATGTCACTCAAACCAAAACAAAATGATCATTTTATTGAGATAGAGTCTGTATAGATGTGTGTCTTTGAAATGTCAATAAATCCATGACATCATTCATCTTTATAATAGAGTTTGAAAGTATTAAGAAAGGGTTGTATAATATCATGAGTTCAGTAACTGAACACAGACATAACAGTCTTTATATTTCTATTCTGCAGCCACAACACCACCTCCTCTTCACTTCCTCTTCACTTCCTCTTCTCTTGCTCACATGCGCAGGCCAGCTGGCAGATCTCTTCATAGACCGCCTGCTGGTACTCATGCTCACCTGTCACTTCATCTTCACAATCTTTCTGAAGTCGTCTGGGTTACAGAGGTCTGTGAAGGCAACCCATCCACTGGTGTATCACACCCTTTCTCTGCCCCCTCACTTCCCCTCTTCTCCTCCTCCTCCTTCTCGCTCAGTTGGCCATTTGACCGAGATGTGGTAAGACTTAAGATCCTCCTCTGATACAAAGCCAGGGGCACAGCTCATGAGGTCGTGACCTCTGAATGACTTGGGGAAGGCGATGACATCACGGATGCTGGAAGAGCCGACCATGATAGAGACCAGCCGGTCCAAACCTTGAAGAGAAGTGAGCAGGAAACGTGTGAAAAAATACAAAATCATTCAAACTTTAAAGCACAAGAACTGTGCTTATCTCTAGTCTAACTACATATCTTAACCTTTGATTTACAGTATGTTTGCTCTGCTCAGTGCATGAGAGCTACTTCATCCCTGACATCAAATCCTAGAATGTCTAGAGAGGAAAGAATGTCATCAAATCAACATCAAATCCCACTTTCAAATCCTCAAGTTGAGTCTTTGGCCGTCACTTATTTGGCCATATTTGGATGAAAGAGTTGATATGCATCGTTAGGTTTCTATCCTGGTTGATAGGTCATCATGGTCATCATGGTAGGCATCACTGTTAGCCATGTCCTAAAGCATACCCTGCTTTATCATCTCCTTGATTTATGTGGGAACATAACTTACAAAATGAACATCATGCTGCATTGAAGAGGACTTGAAACTATAAATTGAGACCATAAGCTCGTGAGGAAAATGTTTAACGAGATAACAAATCAGACGAGCAATAGGTTCATCTGTTTTCATGTCATGATAACCCCGATGATGTGCTGGATCTCACTGCCCATCAATCTACATGCTTGAGTTGTGGAGGCCTTTGGGGGCCATGTAGTAGAACAGGTAGTATATCAATCAGTCACCACCTGGAAGATCACATAGACAGAGCCTGGATCTGTTGAAGTGGTTAATACTGTGTTGGTTGAGGTGGTCACTAAAGGCCATGTGGTAAGTTATGTGACTGATCTGTAGGTCATGATAAGGGGGGAGCGGTTTGATCACTAAGGGCTTATCTTATCCCTTTCATTAAGGCACAACAATCTTACTACAACTACTAAAGTCGAGGCTCAAATCTAAAGGAGACCGAGCCTTTGTGATCAGAGCCCCTCGACTTTGGAACAACCTGCCTGAGGAGATAAGGCGGGCAGAGTCAGTGGCATCTTTTAAATCACTTCTTAAAACTCACTTTTATAAACTTGCTTTTCTGTGATTTCTCCTTTAAAGATCTATCCCTTCCTGTATTAATATTATTGATTTTAACCTTTTTATCTTTCTCTTCTTTAAATGTTTTAGCCTTTAAATATATTCCTTCCTGTATTTATTTTACTTCTCTTAGTCTTTTTAAATTCCTACTCCTTTTATCATTTAACTCTTCAGCTCTCTGTTGCTTTATTCATTTAACCAATGTCCTCTTTATCCCTTCTTTATATCTTCATTCTGTGTTTACAGCCTGTGATGTGATGTCGTCCCACTCTCCCTCAATTTTAATTTTGTTCTCTCCTGGTTGATTTTAAACTCATTTTCCTTCACTGTACTGAACTGCCTCTCCATACCTGCCTGTTGAATCTGTCCTATTCCTGTTATTTGCATTTTTACAATTTTGCCCTCTCTGTTTGGCCCCTCTGTTGATCTCTGTTCTGTTGTTGTGTTGCTGTATTTGCTTTGTCTGTCACAGCACTTTGTAAACATTTGTTTTTAAAGGTGCTATATAAATAAAGCTATTATTATCATTATTATTATTATTATTATTATTATTATCTTGGCTTTTTTTCCCTCAAATAATCAGATTTTTCTGCAACCAGTGGAGTCTCATCCTGATTACCTCTAGTAAGAATGTAGCTTCAAGGCATTTCAAAATTGGCTTCACTCTTTTTTAAATTTATTTTCATTATTTTTGGGTGGTTGCCTTTATTTTGACAGGACAGCTGTAGAGAGACAGGAAATGTGGGGAGAGAGAGAGAGGGGAGGGAATTAAATGCACCAAATAGCGATCAGGAGTCGAACCTGCGACCAGTGCAACATTAGTGTAGCCTGGACACCTGCTCTACCAACTGAGCTATAAACCAGCACCCCATTTCTTTTCTTTTTTTGTAGCTTTTTCTTTCTATATTTAGAGGACAGGACAGTGGGTACTGGGTAGAGTGGGACATCAGGGGGAGAGAGAGAGAGAGTAGGTAATGATATGCAAGAAACCTGCAGAGGGACGGAATCGACCCCAGGCTGATGGTTTCACTTTTAAAACCACTGAGTGTATTGTGTATGAGAGTACTGTGAAGTCCATTGCACGTTTCCCACTTGGACATAAAAGTCTAACTTCTGTTATTTGTGTGTCGCAGCTCATTCTCATGACATGTCACATACCACATTTAGAAATAAAGTAATTGTGAAAGTGAGCTGCATGCTGTGGTCAGCTGCAGAGTTGACCTTACCCAGAGCTATGCCTCCATGTGGTGGTGCGCCGAAATCAAGAGCCTGGAGCAGGTGAGAGAGAAGACTGGGATCCTCCTGCAGCAGAATCAAAATAATCAAACTCTGTAATGATTAGCAATTTGTTCAAGTGATTCCAAATGTAAAACACACACTGATAAAATATAAAAAAACAACTGACCCTGAGGATATTCTTCAGGACATGAAGCTGCTCTGAGGCCCTGTGGATGCGGATGGATCCTCCTCCTATCTCACAGCCATTCAACACCAGGTCGTAGTGCTGACCGCGCACCTGGAGGGACGGAATACAGCCCAGAAGATTAAACGGATCACACATGATGACAGATTATTACTTACTAAATGTAAAACATGGTCACATAGATGATAAGTGATGATAAATATGTGGAAATATGTCAGTGAGATTTACTGTTCTGTTTCGTGATGCTGTAACAAAAATGTATTGTGATATGCTTTGTACGGTGTAAAATGAATTGTTAAGGAGGATCTACAATGGGGCTGACGGTGGCTGTGTTTGCCTGCAGCCAATTTAATTTAATTTTAATTGTTTTTGAATTAAGTGTTTTGTTTTGTTTTAATGAATACTTTGTGAAAGACGGGCAGCTATTATAAGATTAGTCTTCTTTCGGCTCCTTTTCATTAAAAATTTGAGATTTTATGTTTGTTTTTTCTTAACTTTATTGTTTGTTTGAATGAAATAAAATTTACAAATAAAAAAAAATAAAAAAAACAAGAGAGTCTTTAGCCGTTTTCACACATGCACTTCTGAAACATTTCTAGAGATGGACTGCCCCTGAAATCCTCCTGATCTGGTTGGGTCTATGCCTGTCACATGGGGGGCGGGGGGGGTCTCCTGAGGCAAGACATGGTTTATAAAGAACGATGCAGAAGCAGCAGACAAAGCTTCATACCAATGCTGTGTGTAGTTCAACAGAATCCCATTATACTAAAAGAGCACAGAAAAACATACTGACAAACAGAAATCGTAGCAGAAGCAAGCAGACAATCTGTGATGGTGTAGCGATCACAGGGAATAAACGCCACCACCCCCTCCCACTCACACGATGCAAGTTCTCCTGATTATATCCTGCTGTGTTCTAACATCAACTCACTCACTCTGCAGAATAACACTGGCTGGAGGAGAAACTCTAGATAAAGTCAGAGTGATAACTTCTGATGTTTGCGTTCACACATGCAGCTGTGTCCTTCAGGAGTTCTGTGCAGGTGTGTGATCAGGGCGTGTGTGACTACCTTGTGTGGCTCTGTGTAGAGTAACTGTGCGTCCTCCGGCAGAGGAGCGGTAAACGGGTGATGGGCTGACTCCAGCTGCTCCGGCTCGTTTTCTTTTGGCAAGAATAGAGGAAAGTCCACAACCCACAGGAAGTGAAAAGCCAAGGGGTCACGGACTGAAACGCCGCCAGACTCCAGCAGCTGTGCACACTGCAGGCGGAGACGCCCCAGCAATGGCCGCTGACAGGATAAAGATGGAGAGACAAAACAAGGAATGAATAAATAATAAAAAACATTACATTCACTTTGATGTTTCGGTCTTACTGTTGAAGAAATGACTAAGACTTGACACAATAAGACTCAGTTGACTCAGATGGCTTACGTTGATGAAAGTTTATAGATAAGATGAATACTCATGAGGAGACATGATTCAACATCACACTTCTGTTCTCGTGTCTTGCTCAACCACATCTCCCGAACTTGTCGAAAGGCATCGCATATATCCAAAAAGACACTATCATTATCAGGGTCACATTGACCCACCTAGACTAATCTGTGACGTCAATAACACTGGAGCAGACAATAAGTCTACCAAACATCCTTAGAGATATCAGGAAGAACAGTTGACACTCTCTAAGCTGTACTTGGTGTTCTAATAACAACTGAACTCTGTCAGGTCTGACTGACATTAGAGAACAGTGAATAAACATAGTGACATCTTTACAATCTTTAGAATCTAAATAACTACAGACATTCCACCACACTAACATAATGTCTGTGTCTTACCACGGTGTGAAGGGAACCAGCTGCTACCAGCAGCAGGTCTCCTGGGCTGGCTGCAGTCCTCTGCAGCAGCTCGTCTGTGGTCGAGGCAGACAGCAGCTTTTTAAGAGGAGACTTCAACGTCCCGTCTGCTTTGACCAGCACCACACTAAGCTCCTTTAGACGAAAATAAACACAGATGAACACAAAAGGCACACTGAGAATATGTGGATGGATAAAATAATACTGCACGTTTACAATAAAACTTATTTGGTCCTATATGAAACAAAAACAATTCCCTGCTACTGACAGAGTAGTTTAGTTCATTTTATGTTTGAATAGAGGACTGGGCTCAGAAATGTGACACACATAACACAATCCCAAAGATGGAGACACAATTTTGGGTCCACATTCACTTTTTAAGATTCTGGTTGAAATTGTCTTTAGGTCCTGACAGACATTAATAAGTCATGTTCTCTGAAAAAGGAACAAAGAAAATCCATCATCTGTATCAGTTTGTAAGTCTGTAAAAACTTTGACCAATGTCTGCCACGAGGTACCAATCTGATGAACCAATCACACGCCTCCCTGTCTGCCTGCTTGTTCTCTACACCATGCATGCACGAGCCCACACTCAAAAGCATGAGCTGAGGTCCTCTTCTGGACCGACGGCACTTGTGCATGTAAGTGAGGGGGCGTGGATTTTGTGGGAGCACAGAGGGGAGGGGGGGTGCAGACAGAGCACTGAGGGAATGCTACTTTCAAAATCACGCTAGTTTTTGAAAATTACCAACCCTGCCTTTAAGCTAAAAAGTATTAACACCTAAAGATGTTTTGTGGCTTTCACAGACGTCTCTGAGTAATGTTTTCATCTTTGTGGTCTTCAAGTCTCCATGAAGCAGAACATCAGGAGTAACTAACTGCAGTGTTGTGGTGTATTTTCTACTGAAATGGGAGAGATCCAATCAAATGACAGAAGGCGGGACATAATGTCGTTGGGATGGATTTGATTGGATCGTTAGCTTTGACAGTTTTATAATTGGTTGAAAATGAGTTAACGTCCCTGAGTGCAGGATGAGTCATCAAACATTTGAAATGTTTTACAGGACGATAAAATACAGATATTATGATGTTTAAATACTCTGATAAGTCTTTATTGAAATAGATTTGGCAGATAAATTAATATTTAATAGGAACGCTGAAACCGGGAAAATATATTTCTCATTTCATGCAGACTTTAAAAAAGTATTTTTTTGTAACAGGTCGACTGCAGTGGTTTGCAGAATTTTAACAAGTGTTACATGAAGTCAGGTGAAAGAGAAACTATCTCTGTGTCTTGCGTCCACTCATTCTTATATATTATTATCCTGATTTGTTTCTTTTTTAATCTTATTCCTTGTACCTATTATCATATTTTTTATTATGAGAACAAATGATTAGAAACAGACATTACATGAAATGGTGTAAAAAAAATTGAACTATAGAAGTGAAGAAAAGTGAAAAAGAGGAATACTAGACGTACCTGACCAAACTGAGTCTTTGCCGTTTGTTTCAGGGTTTCCAAATCTTTCCCAGCCAAAAGTTTCTGAAGTCAAACACGAGAAGAAAACATCATTCACCAAGTGATGGGCTCAGCTTCTTCTCAGACGTTTACTCAAAGAGAAACATTTATTATCAGGTGAAGTACTTCACCACGTCAGCACAGGCTGCTTTGGTGAAATGGTTTCATCCTTACCGCTCCACTGGGGACGCAGACGGCCTGAACGGAGCCTTCTGGTTGGCTGAGAGCCGATCTGAGGAATTCAACGTCTGTAGAAGAGAAGACGTCACTGAGGTCCATCAGCTGGACAGACACACAGAGAAAAAGAAGAAGAGGGCGGGATTAAGACAGAGTGACAGAGATGTGATGATACCTAACACAAAGATGATAAAAACTCCAAGTGAGGAATCAGAATATTTACAGTTTGTATAATCTGGTTAAAATTCCTACATCACATCCACATTGTGTTCCTGTGTTTGTGCTCGTGCCAAAGTGCACTTCTTCAAATCATGCCAAGGCTAAGTACATGCACTATGCTTAAGAACGGTACAGAGCACTCACACTAGTCAAACAAACATGTTAAAGTTCCCCTTAGTTTAACTCTCTTTGTGAAGCATGTTGTTAGCCTCAGATTTCAAACCACTCCACGTGGATTTATTCTCCAAACTGTCTCACATCATCTTTTATTAAATAACCTGTTTGAGAACTCTAGACTGGCTTTGTGTAAGTTTCTGCCCATCTTAATCTATCATGAAGATATTCAATCAAACTTTGATGAATGGAGTAAATAACTTAAAACCATTATTCATTCAACCTTTATTTATATTCAAAAGATCATTGAGGGGCAAACCCTCATTTATAACAACATCGAGTCATTACAGAAATAATTAAAAAACAGACATTAAATCAAAAAGAAAAACAGGAGACTGATAATACAAGACTGCTAAAATCAGTTTAAAAAGTCTAAAATGTACTAAGATAATTAAATGAGTACAGTATTAACTGCAATAAATAAACAGACTTATGTAAAACAGTTACAAACAGAGGCTGGGAGGCTTAAAATCAGGTTTCTAAAATTCCCAAAAGGTGAAAGTTCATTTCCCTCAAGAAGATGCTGTATGCTGCAGTTACCTTCATAGTGAATCTGGTATCAGGCTTGTCCACTCCGTAGTCCCTCATGGCCTCTTCATAAGTCATGGTTTGAAAAGGAACTTTTACGGGACCTTTCTCTGCTGGCCAGGAGGACTGGATCAAACCCTCCACCAGGGACATGATCCCTGCCTGCTCCACAAAAGACATTTCTATGTCCACCTGGGAGAGACGACGAGAGGACAAACATTTACACCAGATGAAAAATTGAAAGAAGTCCAAACTCATTCAGGAACAAGAAACCATTTTAAACATCAGAGGACAGATATCAAGATAGAGCCAACAGGGTAATATATTCACATGGTTTAATGGGTAGAAGTTTGGGAACCAACTTTGACCTTGTTTCCTTGTCAGAGTATTTCATCTATCACTGATAACATGGATATGAAACTGTCTGAGTACGTCTAGAAGTACCCACAGTCACAGAGAAGCAGCTCTTTGACAGTGGAGGAGGGTGAAACATGAAGTTACCTGGGTGAACTCCGGCTGTCGGTCTGGTTTGGAGCCTTCGTCTCTGTAGCACCGAGCTATCTGGAAGTACCTGAAGAGTGACAGCGAAGGACAAAGATTCACTCTAAGCTACAAGCATGGTCAATCAGGGAAGGGAAAACATGTCACTGCCATAACAACACAAGCATCACTCACATTATTACTATGACTGGAATAACAAAACATGTTTGTTCCTTTTGTTAGTGCCAGTGCTCACCTGTCGACTCCAGCCACCATCAGGAGCTGTTTAAACTGCTGTGGACTCTGAGGTAGAGAGTAAAACCGGCCGGGCTCTCTGGATGGAACCACAAACTCTTTGGCTCCCTGAAACACAGAAAATCAGCAAAGATCACATCAGTGTCTAGTTTGTTTTCAGCTGCTAGAGAACAATTTGTCCCTGATTATTTAAGATACCATACATTGCCTGTTCAATAGAGTACTTTCACAATGTTGATTCTGAAAAAGTGATCTAAGAGTAAAACAAAATGTAAATGTGGTCGTAGTGAGGGGAGGGGACAAAGTCATATTAAGTCAACGTCTGAGGGGAGGACATCAACACCTTATCTTTGGACTCGTTCAATAAACTTCTCAAACACAGTCTGTTCTTCCCAGCCTCCAACCTCCCTCCATCCGTCTCCCATCCTTTTGCTTCCTCTCAGTTTGATTTTTCTTTTGTTCTTTGTCTGGTCCAAACACCATGCAAAGCCTCCTTGAGTCCCTTGAAAGGCGCTATATAAAGTCCAGTGGATTATTATCATTATTATAATAATAATAATGTGTAAAAAACAAATCCACTGGACTTTAAAAATGTATTTTCTTTACATGCACTGTGAGATTTTTTTCTCATAGTCCACTACACAGCTCCTACATTGCACCTTTTGTACATTTTGTGTTATTTAATTTATTTAATTTATATATTTGACTCTGTGTAGCTGAGCCCATTAAAACAGTAAAGACCTTCTTACCCCTGGTGTTCTTTTAAACAATGTTGGAGTTTCTACATCCACAAAACCTGTAAATGAGAAAACAGTTCATTAAAGCCACACTCAGGAGCCACTGGCCCTGGAGACGTTTGATCATTACTGGTAAGGGAAGATAACCTTGTTGTCTTTACCATGCTCTTTACAGAGATATTCCCTCATCTTCATCACCAGCTCAGATCTCAGGCGGAGGTTCTGCTGCATCTGTGAGGACCTGAGGTCCAGGTAACGATACTGCATCCGCAATGACTCTGATTTCTGTTCAGAAAAAACAAACAAACATTCATTCATCATTGCCGTGAATGATATTGATTGCATAAGATTTGTAAATGATACATACTCCTTTCCCCATAGGAAACTCACCTTGACAAAGTCTTTAATCTCAAAAGGTAACTTCTGGCACACGTTGAGAATCTCCACACTCTCTGCCAACACTTCGATGTCTCCTGTGGGCATGGCCTGTTGGTGTGCACACAGCAGAGAGAGAGGAGGGAGGAGTAAACAAAAAAACATTTTCACAACTCTGCCGAAATGCTGCATCTGAGTCGACTGAACATCCCTTTACTTTTCTTTATGGTCTAGTGATGAGGATTTGTGTTCACCTGCGAGGATCAGGATTCTCCTACTAATACAGGAAATAAAAGGTACATGGACTTCAACTCGTACAGCGCTATTCTAGTCTTCTGACCACTCAAAGCGCTGCACATTTTGGACTTTTTGTGCCTTTAATTTAGAGATAGGACAGTGGATAGAGTTGGAAATCAGGGAGAGAGAGTGGAGAATGACATGCGGGAAAGGAGCCACAGGCTGGATTCAAGCCTGGGCCGCCCGCTTGGAGGACTACAGCCTCCATACATGGGGCGCACACTAACCACTGCGCCACCAGTGCCCCAAACGCTGCACATTCATACGCCAAGTGTCTTGCTCAAGGACACATCGGACATGTGGCTGCAGGAGCTGGGGATCAAACCCCCAACCTGCCTGTAGGTAGAATCTACCCACTGATCCACAGCTTTTATACTTCTACACTGTCATCAAACTGCTTTGTGTTTATGTTGACTTATAAAACATGCAAGGTGTCACACTCGTCTACTTTCCTACGCCTTCTCATAAAAACTAACAGCAGAGTTCTGCAGCTCTGTACTGCCCTCTGCTGGACAAACAACACAACATGTCTCAAACCTTTTCAAAGTTTATCTGTGCTCCATGTCCTAATATAAATAAGATGGTCTGGGTTTTGACAGGGAGTCATTAATGAACACAAACCTTGTTCTCCTGTCCAGCTGGTCGCGGTCTGACTATCCCCGTCACCATGACGACAGACTCAGTTGTGAGATCACGACTTTTGTGTGATCCGGCCGACTTAAAGCAGAAAGAAAAAACAAAACCTTGAGTTCACATGTTGCTTATTGAGAGCTTTATCGTTTAATGTTGTGATCAATTGTTGTTGTTCTTACTTCTTCCCGAGGAATCAGAACTTGAGCCAAGCCGCTAAAATCTCGCAGGATGACAAACAGATCTTGCCTGTAAGAGTTAGAAACATTAAAATAAATATTAAACTGTAAGAAAGTAAGGTTGCCAAAAAAAACAACCAGCAAGTAATAAATGAAAACACAGCGATCTGTAGAGGTGAAGAATAAAAATGCTCCAACGATATACACAGTGTACACTTAAACAGCGTGCAGTAAGCCGACTGATTTGAATGATTATTTTGTTTTATGAGTGATGCTGGAAAGAGGTAAACATGCACGCTAGACAAACAATAACAGAGGACAATAAAGAAACACAGCTGACAACACTACAAATTAAAATGCCATAAACACTATGGAACATCCTGTTAGTATTAAAACTTCATGTCTAAAATATAATTGTCTCATCATAGTAAGAAAACAGAATAGTAAAAACATTACCTGAGGTATTGGACCCATCCACACAGCGTGACCTTCTCCCCCACATGATGTGTCCGGAGTTCTCCACAGGTGTGACTCCTGAACGACAGACTGCTGGGACCTGGAAAACAAATACAGCCCACATCATGACCAGTGAAGAAAGCTGTTAATCGTTGTGACTGTGTGGTCCAACAGGTTCAAAGGTTATCTTCCACATTATTGTCCAAATAGAGTGTGTAAAGTTAACAACTGAAGTCTTCTGGGGCGGCTGTGGATCAGTTGGTAGAGTGGGTCGTCTCTTAACCTGAAGGTCAAGGTTCGATTCATAAATATACATAATCATTATTTTACATGAGTTCTTGGGCTACGTTCAACTTTAAATTGATCTTCATTTAACTATTGCACGAGCCTGGACGGTGATTAGGTTAGGTTAAATACCAGAGTGTCCAGAGAGGTGGCATGATTCGCCACCTCAAAATCCTAGACACAGATTGCATTGTCAGAAACGAGACTTGTGCTGCGTTCATGAGCTCCTCTGATGGTCCCAGTTTCTGAATTGGGAAGTCGCTCTTCCGACTTCAGTGTGTTCATGAGCTTTCAGTTCAGAAAGTCTGAATGTAGTACAAACAACAACAAACAGATGCTACAAGGAAGATGAGAGGAATGTCTCTGTTATAAGTTTTGTTTGAGCTAAAATCAATAAAAAAAATTATCTTTATATTAACTAAACATTTCTTGCCCCCCCCCCCCATGTGATGACGAATATAACATAAAGTCGGCAAGTCAGGGACTTTCCAACTTGGAAACTAGTTTTTCCGATGTGTCCGACATCACATGGCTGCAGGGTGTTGTGTTCACATCAACTATTGAGCTGTGTGCAGCAGAGTGCTCGTAGTTGTTATGGCATTTAAATGTTGCACATTTTCTATTTTATTAGTTATTAGTGAAGAAAAAAATAGTTGCATGTCAATTTCATAAGACCACACGAGATCGTATGAGAGGAGAGACTTCATCAAAAATGTAAATAATCTCCAGCACAATGTGGAACTTGTTAATACTTTTAAATAGCTAATAAAAAAGTTTGACTGTCCTGATTTAGAAGAGAAAAAATTAAACTGAAAGTCCGAGGCACTCTGATAACAATTAAAAATCCTTTATTCATCAGGGATTGTCCACGTGTGTCGACTCTACTGGGGCTTCGTCAGGACATGATTGATAAAGATGAGACAGGTGCTTAAATAGGGTGTCATGTGATGTCAAGGTCACATGACACATTTCAAACATCTGATTAAGATGTAAACAAACACAGCGACTCATATTGTGACACAAAACTATTTCAGAACTTGTTTAGGTACGGTAGGATGCCATGAAAGAATAAGTTCAGTGCAAAGCACACACATACAACGTTACAAAACTGTCAGAGACAATGCATATATAATTAAATAAAAGCAAAGTGGAAGAATAAGCACCACCAGGATCACTTCATTATGTGTTGAATCATAGAAGCAATACTATAATGATGGTAAACCCAAGACTGCATGGAACTGGAGGTGGAAAAACACAGTTCAAGAAGCAGTAAGGCCTAACACCATCAAGACAAGATAATACTTTTGTCAGCAGCGGCTGACACAACATCAACAAGTAACACAACCTCCATCCTTTTCAGTCAAAGTAAATGAGTGGAGATGGAAACTGTTAATAAAGGATCTTCATTCCTGAGTGTGTGCACACAGACTTCAGAAGTTGGGCCACACCAGTCAAAAAAAAGTCTGGACACACCCCTGCCAAGTTCATCTATACAATCTGTAAAGAGTAACTCACAGTAATGACATCATCACATCAGTGGGTCGTGTTCAGTACCTGTGGTGTGAGACTTAGACCTGTTCAGACTGTGTGAGCAGCTCACATGTCTGAGTGAAGGTCTCTGCAGCAGAACACGTCCTTGGCTCGGGCTCAAAGTTGAGCTGTCACAGCAGACAGTGTGAGCTCTGACTCCAGCCAGCACCCTGTGCAGCAGATATCTGCTTCTTGTTGCCATCCGATGTCCGGACTTCACAGGTGTGATCGGGCCGGTGTGTTTTCTGAATCAGTTCTTCTGGTCGTGGTTCCGCCTTCACGATCCTCCTGAGGGGCTCTACTGACCCTCTAAACATAAGGATGGACTCTCTAACACATCTTACATCATGTCGTTGCACATCCATGTGTGCATGAGTCCTCTCTACGTCAGAGGATGTGACGTCAGCCTACCTTCAGACCAAAGTAGTCGATCTGGAGCATCTACTGCCTAAAGGGGGCGGCACTTACTTACGTCGGACGTAAAACACTGCTCCCCTGGACTGAACTGTCGTGCTTTTAGAGATTACCCCAGTCCAGGAGATTACCAGGAAGTGTCTTGTTAGTTCTTGAAGTTGCACGTTGTGTGTGTGTGTGTGTGTGTGTGCAGACATGTCAGGCTGCAGGCTGATGAGAGCCATCAGAGTGAGTGAGTTTGGAGCTCCGTCGGTGCTGAAGCTCTGCTCAGATGTGACTGTCCCTCATCCGGGACACAGACAGGTGAGTGTAAACACAGCTCTCAGGTTAAAGTTCAGCCACAGTACACACTGCAGAGACTTTATTCTAAAGCTCTTTATATCGCTTTCAAATCATCAAGTTATTGAAAAATCTGTCACTTCAAAGTAAACTCACACAAAAGTGAACTGAAAGCACGTTTTCTGAACAAAAGGAGATGTTTCTGTACTAATCAACAGCATTAATTCATTATGTGTATTCATTATTCCGGCTGATTATAAATCCATGAACTATACATTATGTGATGGATGGGATCTTGTTTGCTGTCCTGGTTTTCTTGTAGGCCAAAGTGTCTCTGACCGGAGCTCATCTAACAGTGTTTCTGAATCAAACTGTCTGGATTATTGTGAATATAAAAAAACATCAGATTCAATTGTATTATTCTTATTAGTGTCATTAATCACATTAGTCTCATTTTGGTCAAAGTACAACAAGTTTTTTTTATGCAATTAAATGTTTCTCCTGAAAACTGAGCGGTGTGAGTCATTTAATGAATAAATAAAAGATCTAAACGTAAACATAAACAACTTTAAGGTGTTGCAATGCATCTTCACTGTTAGCTTACAGTGAGTCGTATGATTAAATAAAGGGAAGATGATCATGTTTTTTTTTTGTTGAGTCATTGTGCTGAACACAAAAGTCCTCTCTGTTCTGAAACTGGACTGGAACTCACTGAGCAGGAGGTTTATTACAGGGGAGTGTGTCTATGTTCCCACATTTCCTTTTTCATAAATGTGTATCAGGTAGGGTTAGGGTAACTCACCATAACCCTACCCTGTGGGAACATAGGGCTGACCCCACAATTAGCAGGTGAAGTGATCGGCGGCTTCACAGCCCACAACATTACAGGACAGCCGACACAGAACATGTAATGAGTATGAAAAGTGTCAGGTATAACGAGTGATAAGGATTTCAAAAACCATCCACTGTCCACGTTAAAATAGAGAAACATATAGGTAAAGATTTTGTTTATTTTGCTTGGCTTGAACTGTTGCTGTTGCTATGATTTGTCTATTTTGAATACCTTTTCCATATGTGCAGGGGTGCCATGGGTTTGGTTAGGTGGGGGTGGGTGTGGGGGTTTCATACCATGACTGATATGGGCCCAAAAAAGATTAGAACAGTAATTCATTTATTTTAATAATTATGTTTTTTCATTATTTCCACATATCTCTGTATATGTGTGTAAGTGATGTATTGTATTTGTCTTGATGGTTTGATTCACAGCTCCTCTGTGGTGTGTGTGTGTGTGTGTGTGTGTGTGTGTGTTGTAGGTTCTGATCCGTGTCCAGGCCTGTGGAGTCAATCCTGTTGAGACATACATCCGGTCTGGGACGTACTCCCGTAAACCTGCGCTGCCGTACACACCGGGCTCAGACGTGGCTGGAGTGGTGGAGACTGTAGGAGAAGGAGTCAGTGCTCTGAAGGTGTGAATGGAAATCATTGTTCATGGAACTACTCGAACTATTCAAATTCTGTGAAGCTTTTGATGTGTCACTGAAATGTACCAGTTTATGCAGGAATAATGAAGATGTTATTAAGAGTATGCAGTGTAAACAGAAAATCCTCAAGTGTAGTGAGCATTAATATAACACATACAATCTGTTTCAGCCCTCACATTACTGTACTGATCTCTGATTGTGGGGCTGGATGAGAGTCTGTGTTATGTGAGGGGAGGCCGTCAGCAGAGGGAAAGAAACAGTTCCTATGGCTTGAGGTTTTGGTCCTGATGGACCTCAGCCTCTTACCAAGGGGGGAGGGTCTCAAACTATCTGTGTCCGGGGTGAGAGGGGTCGGCAACAATTATGAGTCTTGTGTAAATCAATGAATCTAATATTTGTGTTTCATGTTGATTTGTAAAGTATAAAAATAGTATGTGAATGCAAAAGAACAGATTATTATCATTAAAGTCAGGGTTGGTCATTATCTTAAACTAGCATGATTTAGAAAGTAGCATTCCCTCAGTGCTCCGTCTGCACCCCCCCTCCCCTCTGTGCTCCCTCTAAAGCCACTTCCCCTCACTTACATACACGGACCTACAGAAACTGACCTCAGCTCATGCTTTGAGTGTGGGCCTCGTGCACACATGTGGTAGAGAACGAGCAGGGAGACAGGGAGGTGTGTGATTGGTTCATCAGATTGGTACCTCATGGCAGACATTGGTCAAAGTTTTTACAGACTTACAAACTGATACAGATGATGGATTTTCTTTGTTCCTTTTTCAGAGAACATGAGTTATTAATGTCTGTCAGGACCTAAAGACAGTTTCAACCAAAATCTTAAAAAGTGGATCTGGAGGAAATGACCAACCCTGACCCTGCCTTTAAGTTAGAGACACTGATAAAGATATGAGGCTGGGGAGAGAAATGTGCATTATAACATTCACTTTGTGAAGTAAAGAACATTAACATTGTTGTTAATTTACTGCTCTGTGTGCCTTTGAATTGCCCCCCGGGGACAAATAAAGTTTTTTGAATTGAATTGAATTAAGTTAACATAGACATGTTTATATTGTTACATGTGTGTTTTCCAGACGGGAGACCGTGTGTTCACCACCGCCACAGAGTCTGGAGGTTACGCAGAGTACGCTGTAGCAGCTGAGCAGTGTGTGCACAAACTGCCCGATGCTTTAGACTTCACACAGGGTGCAGCCATAGGGATCCCTTACTTCACTGCTTACAGAGCTCTGGTGCACAAGTAAGACCAAGACACTGTGAAAGTCTGGTTTAGTAATAATCACACATGTTTTGACCTGATGTGTTCTGCATTGCAGAGCCCACGCTAAGGCTGGAGAGACCGTCCTGGTCCATGGAGCCAGTGGAGGGGTACGCTCTGTTTCACCCCTCTTCTCTGTCTTTCATTTTTAACCACATGTACACACTAAAGTGTTTGTGTGTGCATGTGTCTGAGTAGGTTGGTGTGGCAGCTTGCCAGCTGTCCCGCGCTCTGGGTCTGAAGGTGTTGGGTACTGCGGGGACACCAGAGGGAATGAAAGTGGTCCTCAACAACGGAGCTCACCTGGCCTTTAATCACAGAGAAGAGGGCTACACAGACAAGATCATGGTATACACATATACACATATACACACACACACACACACACACACACACACACACACACACACACACACACACACACACACACACACACACACACACACACACACACACACACACACACACACACACACACACACACACACACACACACACACACTTCAGGAACACCAGAAAGAAGAAACGTGTCTAGAATGAAGCTCAAGAAGCTAACAGTAATGAATTATATTTTTTATTTTCCTTATTCCTAATCTTAATCTTAGTAATGGCAGCTGGGATATGATGTGTTAATGTGTGTGTGTTTGTGTGTTACAGGAGGCCACAGAGGGCAGGGGCATAGATGTGATTGTGGAGATGCTGGCAAATGTCAACCTGAGTAAAGACCTCCAGATGCTGGCCCATGGGGGTCGTGTTACGGTCTGTGTGGTTACATTCTGATCTTCTTAACGGGAGTCCTCTGAACACTTTGAGTTTTTCTCTTTAGAGATATTCTCACAGCTTTCATGGATGACCTCATGTCAAGCTTTAAAAACATTACACCTGTCCTTGCTCCCTTTCACTAGTGGCGTTTTAAGAAATTATTTTAAGGTCTTATTGTTTGTTTTTTTAAAGACTGTTATGACCAGGCTCCACAATATATCAGTGATCTGCTAATAAAGGTTACCTTGACCTTGACCTTGGCCTATGAGCTTAACCACTGCCTGAGATCCTCCACCAGGGCCCTGCTGGTGGTCCCTAAAACTCGAGTGGTCACTAAAAGTCACCAGACTTTGCAGTCGGGCTCCACAGCTGTGGATCTGCCTGCCTGGAGATCACGGACAGGCACACTCACTTTTTTTAAAACTCACTTTTGTTAGCTGACTTTTTCGTACCGTTTGCTTTTTTTGTACAGCTACTTTTAACCTTGGGAGTTTTATGGATCAGACACCAGATTTCTACAGCAGCTCGTAGCATCACAGCTGCCTCTAGTGTAGCACTTTGTCTCTCTCCCAGCTGCTGTATTGTTTGAAGTCATATCGCAGTGTAGCTCATTTTAGTGCATTTTTTAAATTCTTCTTTTTCATCTTTATTTCTTTTCAGATCGTTGGCTCCAGAGGACCAATAGAGATCAACCCCAGAGACACCATGATAAAAGAGAGCAGTGTAACTGGAGTGGTCCTCTTCTTCGCTACACCGGTACAAGGCAGTGCCATCACATGAGAGACGATGTACACACACCTAGTGGATGCATACTTAGCAGAAACATGATGACGAATGTCTGGTCATTTTAAAAGCTGTCATAAATCAAGGCTCCATGAAAAGTTGAAGAACTTAATTATTTATTGTTTTGTACTGCAAGCAACAGCCAATCAGCATGCTGCTATCACTAAGTTTAGACTCTACCTATGCTTACAACACTCATGTTTATATTCCTCCTTCAGGAGGAGACGAAGCAGTGTGCAGCGCTGCTCTATGCAGGGATGGAAGCTGGTTGGCTGAATCCGGTCGTCGGCTCCAAGTACCCGCTCAACAAAGCTGCCCAGGCTCACCACGACATCATCGAGTCACCCGGGGCTGCTGGGAAGATGGTTCTGATCATATGATCCTGTCACATGTTACCATGTCAGGTGTTGATCCTCATAAAGCACGAGACCCCTCTGGACCTGTCAGAGCAAACCATGGTTATCATTAAATATCAGAAATGACCTTTAAACACTTTTAACACCTGATTAAACCTTTGTAATCATCACTGCCAATATACAAAACATGCACAAGAATTGGGGCACGCTGGTGGCGCAGTGGTAGGGCGCGCATCCCATGTGTTGAGACTCTCATCTCAAGCGGTAGGCCTGGGTTCGACCTGTGGCCCCTTTTCACATGTCATTCCCCGCTCTCTCTCCCTGGTTTCCAACTCTATCCACTGTCCTCTCTCTGCATTAAAGGCACGAAAAAGCCCAAAATAAATCTTTAAAAAAAAGAATATACAAAGTATATACAATCTCAAAGTTATCATTGATGTCTTGTGTTTTCCAGAATTAAAACTGCTACCTTGAAGAACTTAGGCTATAATGTTATTCACTGATTCTGATTGGTTCTCTGCTATCTTTGTTAGTTATGGACGTTTCCATGTTCATCGTAGACGTTCATGAGAGTCTGACTTTGGTAAGTTTGGGATTAGACTCGAAGTAGGTTGGGCCATCCAGAAGGACCTTTAAAAGTAATATCATCCGTAGTAACTTTTAGTGCTGTAATGACATAACAATACAAATCAAATTTAAGTCAGAGCAGGTAGTTGGAATTGTTTTGTTTTTTTCAATCAGCCTGCTGCTTTTGTACACATGGCTAATAATGTTTTGGAACATAAACACAAAATAAAAAAGGCTACAGAGATGCTGCAGTGCAGTGTGGGTTCATCTACTAACAAACTGTTCACATTACGAACAGTAGAAGTAGAGCATTTAAAGAGAATGTTTAATATTCATCTCTGCAAACGTTAAACATACACACACAGATGTTTTCCTATTACACATCAGTCAAGATGCCACCATTTATTTTACAGCAATGGATGATAAAAATACAAGTACTGTGGGATAAAAATATGAAAAACATTGCTTTGCTGTTTCAAACTCCTTCCCTCAGGCAGAAGGAAAAAATAAAGTAATGGAGCACAAATGGTAACTGGACTTGGGCTTGTTTAGCACTTTTCTAGTCTTCTGATTACTCAAAGCTCTTTTACACCACAGGTCACACCTACACATTCACACACTGATGGTAGAGGCTGCTGAGTAAAGAGTCCATCGGTATTAACTCATCCATTCATACACATTCACACACTGATGGTAGAGGCTGCTGAGTAAAGAGTCCATCAGTATTAACTCATCCATTCATACACATTCACACACTGATGGTAGAGGCTGCTGAGTAAAGAGTCCATCAGTATTAACTCATCCATTCATACACATTCACACACTGATGGTAGAGGCTGCTGAGTAAAGAGTCCATCAGTATTAACTCATCCATTACACATTCATACACTGATGGTAGAGGCTGCTGTGTAAAGAGTCCATCAGTATTAACTCATCCATTCATACACATACGCCGACACACTGATGGTAGAGGCTGCTGAGTAAAGAGTCCATCAGTATTAACTCATCCATTCAGACATTCACACACTGATGGTAGAGGCTGCTGAGTAAAGAGTCCATCAGTATTAACTCATCCATTCATACACATTCACACACTGATGGTAGAGGCTGCTGAGTAAAGAGTCCATCAGTATTAACTCATCCATTCATACACATTCACACACTGATGGTAGAGGCTGCTGAGTAAAGAGTCCATCAGTATTAACTCATCCATTCATACACATTCATACGCCGACGACAAAGCAGAAGGAGCAACTTGGGGTTAAGTGTCTTGCCCAAGGACACATCAGACATGTGGCTGCAGGAGCTGGGGATCGAACCCTCGACCTAGACGGCCGACTCTACCAACTGAGCCACAGCTGCCCCTAACAATTGACTTAAGGCAAATTTATTTTGGTGCAAAAGACAAAATAAGGACCAAAATAAAAAAATGTCCCTTAACTGATTTGTGTGCCCCTGTACTTTCTTTGGATTCTGGCTAAGAGAAGGAGTCCATTGAATTAAAGTTTGATTACTGACCTCCATTTGTGGAGTGGCTGAAGCACAAGAGTTTCTGTCTACCACTTTGCTGGTATCAGATGTTAAATTTAAGATTATGTGTTACACCAACTGTCAATGTGATGACAGGTAGCAATACAAACACCATTATGACAAGTAAAAAATTAAACTAATTCACATGGTTCAATAATCAAAAATCTAAAGTGTTCTATGTTCGAGATCCCAAAGAAAGCAAAACAGCACAAATATTAACTCTTTTTAATGTTTGGCTATAACGGAAATCTAAATAAATATTAGTTTTTGATTGTTTATGTGGCAGTTGTCTTTGCTTAGAAAATAGTCATTCAGAATAAAATTGGGAAGATGAAGGCTTAATCCTGACTCATGAAGTCCACAGGACATCTGTGCCTCTCGGGTGACAGCGGGCTCTACTGAGCATGCTCCAGATGGGGTCAGGTAACAGAAGTTGGATAGAAACATTGACACAGTAACTACTACTACAGCGCCATGGCAACCACTTCAAGATGGAGCTCCGACAGCAGACCATCCCAGAGAGCTACAGATCATCCTGATGGATTAATATGGAGTGAATCATGTCATCAGCAGAGGTGAACCTTTGGATTCAGTAAGAGGGGTAAGCATTGTATGTAAAGGGTTCTCAAATGATCTTCCAATTGAATAACCTCTAGGTGATCCAGTTACCGAGAGGTGTATGAAGAAATCAGAAGAATGAAATTGTGGACAAAAGCTTTCAGGTTTGGTTTGTGTGGTGACTGTCAATCAGCTGTGGGTAGTTTTCCTTTAGAACATTTACCTGTCTTTATCTGAAGGGTGAAGAAAGGATCTAGTATGCTGTGAAGACGCTGATTTGGCTGTGGCTCAGTGGTAGAGTCCGTCATCTCAGAAGGCGTGTGAAGCCATCTGAATGGTATATACGGGACACTTGTGTACTCAGCCTCTGCCATCAGTAATGTGACATGTAGTATAAAGAGTGCTTTGAGCGTCAGAAGACTAGAAAAGTGCTATAACAATTAATTAACCAATGACAAGGTGGTTGGATTGATTTTTAATTGACCAAATTATTATTGGACAAACTAACAACACACATGTAAATCATAAAAAAATGAAGTGATATGTCCAAATCACATTGTAGCTCTTGAGATAATGGGACACTTGTGGGGCGGCTGTGGCTCAATGGTAGAGTCCCCCACATGACGGAGCTTCTCCCGCTGCTTGTTCTGCAGTGTTTGAATGTGCATGAATGGATTAGTTACTTCTGATGGTCTCTTTACTCAGCAGCCTCTACCATCAGTGTGTGAATGTGTAGGTGTGACCTGAGGTGTAAAAATGAGTATTTAGAAGACTAGAAAAATTCAAACAAGCTCAAGTCCATTTACTGTTACACTTCAGTACTTTTGTGAGAGCGCCACTAGTGAAATGGTTTGAGTCATAAGCAGCTGTAGATAATGACTCAACTTACCAAGAGTTCTCTTGTCTCGTATCTAAACCAACAAGGCTGATGAGTAACCAGCAGAGCCCTGGTACTGAAACTGAGCTCTGACCGCTGAAGAGTTTAAACCTGCTGCATCACTGATTTCCACAGAAAAGGATTAGGCCACTGATTAAGGAAAAAAAATGAGGTCAGACGTTCTATTCCGAATTCTGAGATTTCAGATTTTTCTTATAAGAACTCTGAAAACTGAACATCGTCTAGTTTAGATCTTTGTAGGATGGAGTTGGCTGTTTGGGTCAGCAGCGCGTTGTCAGCTATACATCACGACCCTCAGATGTCTTTGAACTCTCGTTTAATTCCCCATGAGTGGAGATGATTTCACCCATCCAATAATAGAGTTCCCTTAAATAACCTAACGTTGTAGTTGATGATTTCAGCCCCTCCATTGACCATCACAAATATTCCTTGAAATGCTGGATTGCTTTAAATGTCTGGTTTGACCTGCTTTATGGATTCTTCAATTCAGTGAATATAGTATCTGTTCATGTGACCCAAACAGAGTACAACAAACTGCTCGGTCTGTTTAACTCCTGCAGATCGTTCCTCTGTTCTTTGACAGTAAACATGATTAAATCCTGATTATGCTTCATGGATTTACAGCTGTGGAGATCTCATGTTGTTTATCGAGGAGGACAGTGCACTAGAGACACGTCCATTAGGAGAAGAGCTTCAGCAGAAAACATGATAGGCTTCATTCTGTTACAATGTCTGGCTGCCATCCATCAGTCAGCATCCTCCACCTCCTCTGATGACACCACACACACCCACACACACACCCACACACACACACCCCCCACACACACCACACACCACACACACACACACACACACCACACACACACACACACACACACACACACACACACACACACACACACCACACACACACACACACACACACACACACACACACACACACACACACACACACACACACACACACACACACAATAGCTTGGTGACAGTAAATATACCATTGTTAGTTCGCCTAGCAACTCAGAACAAACAAAGAACACACATGACAACTTGCTCACTTGTGAGGTTTGTAAACTTGGTCTAAGGACTTGTGAGGTCCCCGATGGAGCTCCTCATGGCCCCCCAGAAACACTGAAGAAGAGTTCAATTCATTTATTTTCATCCTCACAAACTAAGTTCACAGGCCCAAATAAAAGACATCAGCAGATTTCCATATTGTTACTGAACTCCTGAGCCAGGCTAACAGCATCACTAAAGCTGTATTTTAAACTTGAATTTAGCCCAAAAGAAGAAACAGCAGATGCTGTCCTTTTTTTTATTTGATTTTTATTTGATTTTGATATCCTTTATTCATCCCCAGGGAAATTCCTAGGTCTATATTGACCTGTACAGAGCCTCACAGAGGACACAGCAGGTGATAATATTTGTGATGATGTGTTCTAATTGGCCAAACAGATGAAGATCATGCCCGTGATGCAGCTACATCAGCTTTCAGCAGAATGGAAAAGATGTCACCTCATCGCCATGTTACCTGTCTTGTAACCCAACATGACCAGTAAGTTCTAAAAACAATGTTTCTTCATTAACATATAAACCAATCATTTCAGTCTGTTGCAGGCTAAAACAGAAAGGTACCGTTCGTTAATAAAATACGTTTTCCCCTCATTGTGTGATTATTTAATTTTCACACTCTTGTTTTGTTTTTGTATTTTTATGGACAATATGTCTGCAGGGTTTTGCTGATGTTTTTGCTGTCAGTAATCAGAGCTCTGATAGTGTCTCCTGTCCCGTCATGCCCTGCTTCCTGTGTGGTTTGTTCTGAAGATGCCATCATCTGCCATCGACTGGCTCATATTATTGGTAAACTGCACACACACTCACACACTCACGGACAGTTTTTGTTTTTGTAATCCCGTCTTAAATGAGAGTAATTGTATTTTATCGCAGAACTATGTTGCACACAGGTCACAGCCATCTTTGTTGATGAGACCTGGGTACTTACATACTGTATGTTTTAACTTTGTGTGTGTGTGTGTGTGTGTGTGTGTGTGTGTGTGTGTGTGTCTAGATGCTCCAGAAACAACCCAAGCTCTGCTGCTGACAGAGGGATCCATCTCTACAGTCCAGCCTGCTTCTCTCTCTGACCTCAGCAACATTACAGTCATAGGTCAGTCAGTGTGTGTGTGTGTGTGTGTGTGTGTGTAGAACGTAACAATAATAAACCTGTAGTGTGAATGTTCACCATGCAGGTCTGAG